TGGACTGGACTAGAATTTTTTACTATTTATAACCTTGTAACACTTAACGTCATGTAATTCAGTCTTCTGACTGCCAGATGATGTTTTTATTAAACAAACTATTCATTCAAACAAACTATTCATTCATTCATTCATAAAATGATCTATTTATGTGTACCAATGTCAAAAATTCAAACTTGAAGCATAAAATATTAGTTTGCAAGAAAAACACTTTTTTGCAAGAAAAATCACAGTAATCTGCCAGTCGCTAATTTTTTTCTTTCGCCCTCCCCGTGAGCCTCTACGCGCGCCCGCAGCCCGCGCGCCCGCACTTGTCTTCAACCGCCTGAGAATTGCCTGAATATTGTTCAATACAAAAAAAGAAACGCTAATAAAGAGGAATTATAAAATAATATAAGATCTACAAGTATTTATATTTAAAAGCGACTGGGAACGAGTCTGTGTTCGCACTACTTGTTCCCAGTTGTTGACAAGTCTGGAACAAATTGTGATCATCTTGTAACAAGGTTGATGTGGCCAACAGGCGGTTATAATGCCCCAGGAGCTAAAAGTGTATCGAAAATAGTTGAAAAATACAGCATAATAGCAGTGGCGGCGCCAGAAATTATTATTTGCCCCCATTTTGCCCCCCCCCCCTCAAAAATAAATTATTAGTCACTAAGAGCGACTAAAGGCTACACAAGCGTTTTGTCATTATCGGAAAATGTATGGCTTATAAGTTGTCATTACTCATTAGTGAACGCGCGTATACATGAAACTGTTTTTTACAGTTTAAATATTAGTTTGTAAATCTCTGAATGGTAAAATACTCCAATAATACGTTTCAAAAAAAGACAAAAAAGCTCTAGTTTTGCAGAGTTAAATTCTCAAACGTGTAAGGCACTAATAAAATGAAAGTATCACGAAATTATTTGAATAAACCACATCGCATATATGGGGGGCGAATGTCCTAAAGAGGGGCGATATTCCTAGGGTATTCGCTCCACCCCCCTGGGAGGCGATATTCCTAGGATATTCGCCCCCGGGGGCGATATACCTAGGAATATCGCCCCCCTTTTGAGGGGAGGGGGGCGAATCTCCTGGGGGGCGACCTTTTTAAAAATTCTATCTTGCCCCCCCCCAAAATATGAGTTTGCCCCTCAAATGCCCCCCCTCCCCAAATTCGGAGGCCTGGCGCCGCCACTGCATAATAGAAGGCAAGTCAACTCAACTACCAGAAATGAATCTCGCTCGAGCAGAATCAGCATCATGTGTTTACAACGGTGACGTTATCGTGACTGGAGGTTGGGTTGATCAAAATGGCACTGATTTGATCGAGATTTTAAAGATGAACCAGCATCCTTTGCGATGGACGATGTTTGATGGTAAACTGCCCGCCAAGTTATCTGCTCATGACGTCACAGTTTACCAAGATCAATTATATATCATAGGAGGAGATAACTGGAATGAAAACAAACCATCCGATGCAATTTATGAACTATCCCTTGCCCCCCTGATCCTGGCAAGCTTCTCGCAAGAATGCCTCAGCCAAGAAAAGACCACGGAGCACAAATTGCTAACGGGAAGCTATTTATCTTGGGAGGATCGACAACAGGCAAGAGTAAAGATGCCATTAATTGATAGCGTTGTTGTGTATGATTTCACCAAGAACCAGATTAAGCCATGTCCATCGTTACCCGAGCCTGCCCTAGGAATGTCCACAGTTACTTGGGGCAATATGATCATTGTTGTCGGCGGGGTGGATAAGAATTACCAGGCTTTAAATGACGTCATCATGTATCACATTGAAACAGGGCGAAGTGAAAGTTTACCTTCACTGAAAAACAAGATGCATGGTGCCTCAGCTGTCATCTTGCATGACGTCATTGTTGTATTGGGAGGAAGGAATGACGAGGAGTAACCTGAAGTTCAGACCCTAATTTAGAATGGGGCCTGACACAAAACCTATCTAAACGGCATAGTACAAAACATGGACTGGACTGGACTGGACAGTTGGACTGGACTGGACAGTTGGACTGGACTGGACAGTTGGACTGGACTGGACTGGAGTTGGACTGGACTGATTTTTACATTTTCTCTATTTTTGACTTGCACAAAAGAATATTTCATAACAGAATAGATATACCATGTCAACTCTATTTTGTGATTTTATCAATGAACATTGTCTGATGTGACAGGAGTAGATTGGTTGCAGTCAAGAATATAGCATTTTGCACCTGAATTACTTTTGATTTTCGGAAGTTGAAATACTTTACCTTCGCCGATGACTTCACTTTATAACTGGAGAATACAATAGCAAACAAAAACTACTTATTTACTGAGACTTTGGGAAAGCAGTGTGTTTTGTAGACCCTCGACCGTCGATCGATGTTTCCCGGCTCGGCTTCGCCTCGGGAAACATCGTGACAGTCTCGGGTCCACAAAACACACTGTTTCCCTCGGTCTCAGTAAATAAGTGATCAATATTTCAGTCTGCATAGCCATAGGAAGATCGATAATTAGGGGGGGGGCCTCATATTCATGTACTCATGTTCGCAGACCGTAAAAACAATCAATTTCAAAAGAAGTGAATAATGCAAAACACGAATATATGAATATGAGCTCCCCAATTATCGATCTTCCTACGCCTGTGTCAGTCTGCGAGCAGTCAACCATATATCATTGTGGCTATAATAATATTGGAAAATAAACTAATGATAATACATCTGGAGCCAGTTGCTCAAAGGTGGTTAGCGCTAACCCTGGGTTAAATTTTGACCTGCTGTTTTGGTTTGTATCTTTCTGCACGTACGTTTATTTCACAACTTCAGAGAAGTAAACTCCTATCGATCCAGACAAGATCTCTGAAGAAATATTTCCAAATTTATAGACAAGCTGTCAGGAAGTTTCCTTTGAACTTTACGTTAACCTAGGGTTAAGCTAACCCAGCTTCATACATTTTAAACATTTTTACATCAAAAAGCAGTTTAAATTACAAATCAGTTTGTCGATTGCATTCATAAGCAGAATGTAATATTTATCAATTCAAATATATTATTATATTGTTTAACTAGAATAAATGTTACCAGAGATTTGCCAGGCGGAAAACGAATTCTTATGATAAATATGAGAGCCCAACATATAACTTTTAACAAAGCCATTAAAACAGTTAAGATTCTACAATAAATATTCTTTAAAATCTTAACTGTTCTTCAGAGATCTTGTCTGGATCGATAGGAGTTTACTTCTCTGAAGTTGTGAAATAAACGTACGTGCAGAGAGATACAAACCAAAACAGCAGGTCAAAATTTAACCCAGGGTTAGCGCTAACCACCTTTGAGCAACTGGCCCCAGATATTATTATAGCCACAATGATATATGGTTGACTGCTCGCATACTGACACAGGCGTAAGAAGATCGATAATGGCATTTGCATTATAGACTAAATTTTGATCTAGACAAAAATGTCATCACAGCTTGAAAGAGCATCACAAAATTAGTAATATTCCAAAGTTTCGTTGCGAAATGTTGTAAAATGCGGATAATATAGCCATGCAAAGTTTGCCGTTTTTCAGTCATTTTGTATTGCGCACGGGAAATTGACCGCCCAATCGGGTGTTGGTTGGGGCATCAATTCCATTTGTAATACAAAATGACTGAAAATTTCAAATTTCGCAAGGCTTATTATCCGCATTTTACAACATTTCGCAACGAAACTTTGGAATATTACTAATTTTGTGATGCTCTTTCAAGCTGTGATGAAATTTTTGTCTAGATCAAAATTTAGTCTATAATGCAAATGGTCCATTGGGGAGCTCATATTCATATATTCGTGTTTTGCATTATTCACTTCTTTTGAAATTGATTGTTTTTACGGTCTGCGAACATGAATACATGAATATGAGCCCCCCCCTAATTATCAATCTTCCTATGGCTATGCAGACTGAAAAATTTATCACTTATTTACTGAGACCGAGGGAAACTGTGTGTTTTGTGGACCCGAGACTGTCATGATGTTTCCCGAGGCGAAGCCGTGCCGGGAAACATCGACGGTCGAGGGTCTACAAAACACACTGCTTTCCCAAAGTCTCAGTAAATAAGTAGTTTTTGTTTGCTATTGTATTCTACTTACCAGGCTTTGTTTCGCTTTAAGGGAATTCGCTCCAGTTATAAAGTGAAGTCATCGGCGAAGGTAAAGTATTTCAACTTCCGAAAATCAAAAGTAATTCAGGTGCAAAACGCTATATTCTTGACTGCAACCAATCTACTCCTGTCACATCAGACAATGTTCATTGATAAAATCACAAAATAGACTTGACATGGTATATCTATTCTGTGATGAAATATTCTTTTGTGCAAGTCAAAAATAGAGAAAATGTAAAAATCAGTCCAGTCCAACTGTCCAGTCCAGTCCAACTGTCCAGTCCAGTCCAGTCCATGTTTTGTACTATGCCGGAAATAATTAAGGCTTCAGGAAGTTTTTTTAAACGAGTGGGTGGTCAAAATTTTATTTTGTATTGCGCTCACATGATACATATATGTTGGATTTTCACAAATCGACAATATTTTGAATAATTCAGGTATTATAAAGGATAGCTTTCTTTCTTTCTGGTGATATTACACATGAAGGCATTTATATTTAGATCTGCTGTTTAGCGTTCGATATGAGGTATTTGAAACAATAAATTAGCCCGCGTGCAGGCCCAAGGGAACACGCGGGCTACACCCCCTAGTAAATGCGTTGGAGATTTTTCGCGAGGTGGTCGGAAGTTGTCGGAATTAACACTCTTGTTATCAAGTATCAGCTATAAATTATTTGAATGATTAAAAATTTATACTCAACTACAATATGGCCGAAAGAATCAAAGGTATGCGTTAGTTATAATTATTTATATTACGATTTAGATGCATGGTATAAACCATATATATATACACTTAAGATTATTCGATAAAATTATTCAATTAGCTAGTTATTTCGTATCTTTGAATCGCTTTTAACTTCGGAGTGGAGACACATGGATGCGGTTTAATTTGTTTACATGTCTTAATTATGACCACCTTCACAATTCACATGTACATGCACGAACCGTACGATTTTGGAAACGTATGGGAATTCATTCGGATCCATTTGATGATACCAGATTTTAATCAGGTAGTTTTATGTGCCTTTTGAATTCGAAAGGTGAAAATCGTGCAAATATGAGTAATGCATGAGTCAATTCCAGGAGTAACCATCCCCCCCCGGGAACACACCCGGGCATTTGATTTGATTGGTTATGATAGTGTAAATGCCCGGGTGCCGGGACACAACTTGAAGACTAATGCACAGCCCCTGGGCAAGCTGAGAGTGGAAAATGCCCCACCCTGGGGACGATTTTACAGTCGATTTCACAAAACTTTGACCACAAATGTTCCGAACTTGGTTCAGTTCGTTGTGAAGTTCGCAAGTTCGTTGCAAAGTTCGGAAGCTCATATTGGAATTCACAAGCCAATTTGTAAACAAAGTCCCTGATTGGTCGGTGAAGTAAAAGAAGCCAATCAAATGCGTAGTTTACGAACTGGTTTGTGAGTCTCATTATGAACTTTTGAACTTCGCAACAATCTTGTGAACTTCATAACGAAGTTCGGAAAATTTGTGGTCAAAGTTTCGTGAAATCGACTGTAAACGTTAATATTTAAACTTTTAATGGCATATAATCATAGTCATTTAATAACATTATAGTATTAAACTGCTATGGAATATTATAAAACATAAACCTTTAATAGTTGTATTTAAATTTTCATGGCACAGGGTATAATTTTCGCTTATTCTTACAATAAATTTCACGCCACCTTGACTACAACTTGGGCTCAAAATACGATCAGCGCGCCCACATGCTTGCCTGAGACTATGTTTTGCTGCCTTAAAATTTGTGGGTGGGATTCTGGGCAACCATTTGTCTAATCCCCAGGGTCCTCCAATACCCGGCCCCTGTGCACATATATGAAAGGCAAATTCCTGACCCCTGTGAACTGTCTATCGGGGCAAATTCCCGGTGGTGCCCCGAGGATGGTTACTCCAGGAATTGACTCATGCATAAGGCAGCCACTGGCTATTATTAATTAAGACGTTTATTGAGGGTTCTTGACGTGCATCAGTGCCAGTGGCCCTATATAGTTTTCAAAAGAGTATATAAACTATAGTAGTCTATAGTGTAGAATATATATATATATATATATATATATATATATATATATATATATATATATATATATATATATATATATATATATATATATATAGATGGTCACACAAATGTGAAACGTCGGAATAGAATGAATGTCCACTAGTCAGGCGGTTCCTAAAATTGGGCAAGCCTGGGAAATACCGCCTGCTGGGTTTGGCAGTGTAATCGAATTCCCCGTCCACCAGTGGACGGAAATTGATGATTGGCTGCGAGTCTGAGCCGCTGTCACTCAAAAGTGAATACACTTTAATATGTAAACATAGATTTGACACTTTAATGATGCAT